GAGGGCTTCATTTTTTGAGGGGTAGTGGGTACGTTCTGGGTCTCCAATAACAGTAATTCATTGAGCAGGCACTCTATAGTGCATTTTACAACAGTCTCTCATTTGAAATGATTATTTCCTTTTCACATGAAGGAAGTTAGCCTCAGGAGCATTAAGTAACTGTCCTGGGTCACAGAGTAGTTATATTTAGTAGCAGAGCTGGGGCTGGAGACCAAGCTCTTACTCTACCACTGGCCTAGATATCTGGTCTCTCAGTTTGCAAAACAAATGAATAATGAACACCAAATTATTTCTTCCTCAAAATCCTCCTGGTGCTTTAGGGACAGGGCTAATGCAACTTCCTCCACAAAGCCTTTGCTGATCTCTGCCCTTAGCCCTGCACTCCCCATTCATCCCTCCAAGAAAAGGAAATCTCACATTTTACATCTTCACATCCTCCTGAATCCTGTAGCACTTGTAGCACAAACCATCAATCCTTCTCTCTTGGTATCTCCCTGAAGCACCTTGCACAAAGTGTTGCATGTAGAGTTGATGCTTGATGTATGTTTGTAGAAGTAAGGAATGAATGATTTCCTTCTCTCTGTCAACCTAGGACATTTAAAAGTTCTGTGCTTGGGCTTCCCTGGTGGCACAGTGGTTGGGAGTCCGCCTGCCGATGCAGGGGACGCGGGTTCGTGCCCCGGTCTGGGAGGATCCCGCGTGCTGTAGAGCGGCTAGGCCCGTGAGCTGTGGCCGCTGGCCCTGCGTGTCTGGAGCCTGTGCTCCGCGGCGGGAGAGGCCACGGCAGTGAGAGGCCTGCGTACCGCAAAAAAAAAAAAAAAAAAGTTCTGTGCTCCTCTTGCTTTTGTGCTTTTAAATAAAAGAAAATGAAATAGTTATGAGCAAATACTCTCGTGTCTTTGTATTTAAAGTCCATCTCTTATAGACATCATTTGGTTGGATCTAGTTTTTAATCCAGGCTGACAGTCTCTGCCTTTTAATTGGAGTGTTTAGTCCATTTACATTTACAGTAATTATTGATATGGTTGCATTTGGTTCTACCATTTTGCTGTTTTCTATTTGTCTTATATGTTGTTTCTCTGTTCCTTCTTTCCCAAAAGTTAGAAAACCTTACAATATTGTTGTATAATTTTTGCTTTAGATAGCCTAAAAATATGTAAATAGCTTTTAATATTTACCTACCTATTTAACATTTCCAGGGATCTTTATTCCTTCCTGTACATCTGAGTGTTACCATCTAGTGTCATTTCAGAATTTTCTTTCTTTATTGGTGATGAATTCTCTCAGCTTTTGTGTTTGAAAATAACCTTATCCCCTTCATTTTTGAAGGTTAGTTTTGCTGGAATTTTAAAATTCTCAGTTGACAGAATTTTTTTCTTTCAGTACTTTAAAGATGTTCCATTGTCTTTTGACCTTCATTATTTCTGATCAAAAGTTAACCTATCATTAGATATAATTTCCTGAATGTAATATGCCTTTTTTTTTCCTGGCTGCTTTCAAGATTTTTCTCTTACCTTTGCATTGGCTGTTTGACTATGATTTGCATAGGATTGGTTTTCTTATTTATCCTGCTTGGCATGTATTGAGCTTCATGGATCTATAAATTGATGTTTTTTCTCCAGTTTTGGGAAGTTTGGGCCATTATTTTTTCAAATATTTTTTGTGATCCATTTTCTCTCTTCAGTTACATGTTGTTAGACTGCTAGATATTGTCCCACAGTTGTCTGGGCTCTGTTAGTCTTTTTCTTCAATCTTTTTTTTTTTGGATTGAATAATTTCTGTTCATTTAACTTCAACTACACTGGCTTTTTTTTCTTGTCAACTTTTGCTGTTAAAGACTATGCTGTGAGTTTTTCATTCTATTTATTTTTCTTTTCAGCTCTAGAATTCCCATTGGTTCTTTTCTACAGTTTCAGATTCTCTATTTCCTCTCTGTTCATTCCTTATCCTTACATTTTCTTTTAAATCCTTAAAGTGCTGTAAAATTCCTGTCTGCTAATTGCAACATTTGGGGGCATCTTGGCATTGGTTTCTATATACTGCTTTTTTCCTTGAGTATGGGTCACATTTTCTTGTTTCTGTGCATGTCTGGTGATATTTTAATTGAACACTAGATGTTATTAATGACACGTTATAGAGGTTCTGGATTCTCTTATGATCCTCTGAAGAATTTTTGTCTTAGCAGGTAGTTAAAATGACAAGGCTCAAGTTCTAATCTATGTTCCTTGCATTAGCAGCAGCTGAAATCTCCACTCAGATCTTTTGGTTTCCAGCTGCTGCTTTTTTGCTGGCCCTCCTGGTGTCTCCAGTCAAGAAGTTGAGCATATTTCATTTGCAGATTTGGGAGTTAACTACCCTATGTGACTCCCTCCCTTTCAGGTTTCCCCCTAACCTTCTCTGACTGCTCTGCCAGCCTTGAACTCTGTCCACTGTCACCCCCTCATGTGACTTTTTCTCTGTGTGTATGCCTCGTTGGTGTCTCTCCCTCTTCTTCTTTTTTTGGGGGGGGTGGAATATAGTTAATTTACAATGTTGTGTTAGTTTCGAGTGTACAGCAGAGTGATTCAGTTTTATATATATATGTTTTTTTATTTACTCTTTTTCAGATTCTTTTCCATTATTACAAGATATTGAGTATAGTTCCCTGTGCTACACAGTAGGTCCTTGTTGTTTACCTATTTTATATATAGTAGTGTGTATATGTTAATCCCAAACTTCTAGTTTATCTAACCCCACACCCCCTCCAGTGTCCCCTTTGGTAACCTAAGTTTGTTTTCTGTGTCTGTGGCTCTGTTTCTGTTTTGTAAATAAATTCATTTGTATCGTTTTTTTAGATTCCACATATAAGTGATATCCCATGATATTTGTCTTTCTCTGATTTACTTCACTTAATATGATAATCTCTAGATTCATTCATGTTACTGCAGATGGCATTATTTCTTCTTTATGGCTGAGTAGTATTCCATTGTGTGTGTGTGTGTGTGTGTGTATACACCACATCTTCTTTATCACATCTGTTGATTGGACACTTAGGTTGCCTCCATGTCTTGGCTGTTGTAAATAGTGCTGCTGTGAACATTGGGATGCATATATCTTTTCGAATTAGAGTTTTCTCCAGATATATGCCCAGGAGTGGAATTGCAGGGTGATATGGTAATTCTATTTTTAGTTTTTTAAGGAACCTCCATACAGTTCTCCATAGTGGCTGCACCAATTTACCTTCCTACCAATAGTGTAGGAGGGATCCCTTTTCTCTACACCCTCTCCAGCATTTATTATTTGTAGACTTTTTAATGATGGACATTCTGACTGGTGTGAAGTGGTAACCTGACTGGAGTTTTGATTTGTATTTCTCTAATAATTAGCGATATTGAGCATCTTTTCATGTGCCTTTTGGCCATCTGTATGTCTTCTTTGGAGAAATGTCTCTTGAGGTCTTCTGCCCATTTTTTATTGGGTTGTTTGTTTTTTGGATATTAAGCTGTATGGGCTGTTTGTATATTTTGGAAGTTAATCCCTTGTCAGTCACATAGTTTGCAAATATTTTCTCCCAGACCATAGGTTGTCTTTTCATTTTGTTTATAGTTTCCTTTGTTGTGCAAAAGCTTTTCAGTTTAATTGGGTCCGATTTTTGTTTTTTTTATTTCCATTACTCTAGGAGATGGATCAGAAAAAATATTGCTGTAATTTATGTCCAGGAGTGTTCTGCCTATGTTTTCCTCTAGGAGTTTTATAGTATCCAGTCTTACATTTGGGTCTTTAATCCATTTTGAGTTTATTTTTGTGTATGGTGTTAGAGAATGTTCTAATTTCATTCTTTTACATGTAGCTGTCCAGTATTCACAGCACCACTTATTGAAGAGACTGTCTTTTCTCCATTGTGTATTCTTACCACCTTCGTCATAGATTAGGTGACCGTGAGTGTGTGGGTTTATTTCTGGGCTTTCTATCCTGTTCCATTGATCTGTATTTCTGTTTTTGTGCCCCCCCCCACCATACTGTTTTGATGACTGTAGCTTTGTAGTATAGTCTGAAGTCAGGGAGCATGATTCCTCCAGCTCCATTCTTCTTTCTCAAGACTGTTGTGGCTTTCAGGGTATTTTGTGTTTCTGCACAAATTAAAAAATTTTTTGTTCTAGTTCTGTGAAAAATGCCATTGGGCTCTCCCTCTTCTTATAAGGATACTAGTCCTTTTGGATTAGGGCCCATCCTTATGACCTTGTTTAACCCAGTTATCTCTTTAACTGCTCTGTCTCCAAATATTGTCACATTGGGGGTTAGGGCTTCAACATAGGACTTTTGGGGAGGGGCTGGCATTGGGACACGTTCAGTCATTTACCATCTAATTGCAGAATGCCTGCTCTATTCCAGGCACAGCGTGAAGGGCTAGGGGTTCAGTATGGACAACACTGGCCCTGTCTCTGCCCTCGTGGAGCTCACAGCCTAGGGGGATAAAAAGACATGTAGACAGTAACATTGCAGAGTGATGACAGTGGACATAGGGTGCCCTGGGAGCACTGAGGAAGGGGTGCCCAGATCAAGTTATGGGGTCAGGGAAGGCTTCCTTGAGAAAATACGTTTCTAAACTGAACCCTGAAGGATGAGTTAGGAGTCAGCAGGAGCAGTGCCTCAGGCCAGGCTTGGGGTGTGAGGGGCTCCAGGGCTGAGGAGGGCACACTGGGAACAGTTGTTTAGTACAGCTGGTCCTGGGGGAGTGGAGTGGTCAGGGGATGGGGCCAGAGAGGTAGGCTGGGGCCGGCTCCCTTGCTGGGTTGTAACTGTCTGCCCCTGTAGAGGGGCGCCTCCTTCAGCTCAGGGTCCCCCTCCTGGCAGAGCAGGTGTGTGGTGAATGTCAACAGGGGCCGCGTGTTGTGATTCGGATGTGAGGGCTGAGGTGGGGAGGTTGGATGTGTGGGCGACCTCACCTCCTTGGTAAAGCAGGTCGTGGGCCTGGAAGTTGCCCACCTCCTCTGGATCACATGTGTGTCATTGTCCTTCAGCCCTGGACAGCGAGTCCGCCTGCAGCAGCATCCGCTTTAGCAAGGCCTGCCTGAAGAACGTCTTCTCCGTGCTGCTCATCTTCATCTACCTGCTGCTCATGGCCGTGGCCGTCTTCCTGGTCTACCAGACCATCACGGACTTTCGTGAGAAACTCAAGCACCCTGTCATGTCGGTGTCTTACAAGGAGGTGGATCGCTACGACGCCCCAGGTAGAGCCTGCCCCAGGCAGACATCAGGCCCAGGTCTGGGGCATCGACTTGCAAATACTCCCTGAGCTGCCATTGCACTCCTGGTGTCTTGCTGGGCACCACGGGCAGGGCAGAGGAGTCCGAGCACAGTCTAGGTGTGGGTTATGCACCCCAAGAGCTGCTGTTGGTACCCAGCAGAGTGTCACGTGCCGAGGAGGGAGGTGGACCGAGCCTGGAGTGGTCGCTGCAGGACTGGGGTGGGCAAGGAATGCTTATGCTCAGTGGCAGGATATGAGCTGGGCTTTGGTAAATGGAAGAGAGTTTCTGTGGGAAGGGGGTCTACAGGAGCAAAGGTGAGCGTAGGGAGGCAGAGAGCTTCTCTGGAGAGGATGAGTCTAGCCTGGCTGGAGCCAGAGGCCAGGGATGCGGAGAAGTGGGAGTTACAGGTGGCAGGGAGGCGAGGCCATCCAGAGGTGGGCGGGGCCCTGCCTGGAGAGGGGCTCCCAGGCCACATCATCCGTACCTCTCCTGTCCCTGCGAGGGGCTGTCTGCTCCGGGGCGGTGGGGCTGGCACTGGGCTCTGGCAGTGTGGAGTAGACCAGGAGGTGTGAGCTCTGTGAGCTCAGGCTCTGCCCACAGGATGCCCCCGAGTGACCTTCGGATGACCTGTTCACAGGGCAGAGCCGGAGTCTCAGGTCCCCTCTGCCTGGGGCTTCTTGACAGGTGTGCTGGTCCCAGTGCGCTTGCCTGTCTCTGCCTGTTTCGTGATTGTTCCTCTTCTCTGTCTGCTTTTGTCTGTTTATCTGTGGGTTTTACTCTCTCTATCTGGTCTCTTGGTCTGACTCTGCCTGTGTCTGGGGCCACGTGCTGCTCTCAGTGTTTCTACCACTGAGGTTAGAACAGCTGCTGTCCTTAGAGCTTTGAACGAGGTACCTTGGCTGGGGGAAGGGGAGGGATTTGGGGCTGCGACTTGCACACTTGGAGCTCCCAGTCTGGGTAGGAGATGCGAGACGGAATGAGACCTGGGGAGTCCCGCAGCCGAGGGCTGCCCAGTGAGTCTGCAGGTGGGCAGTGGTGCGGGGGGCCTGGCAGTGCCCGGCTTGGTCTCAGAGGCCTCCTTGGAGGGTGTGGAGCAGGGTTCTGAAGCGGGGCGGGTTTTGGTGCAGGCACTGGGGAGGCTGCATCCCCGGCCGGGAGGGGCTTACCGAGGGGGCAGTTGTCTCGTCCATTAGAGCAGGGCTTTCTGAGAGCAGGGTGTGTAGCTCCCCATCCTCTGTGACACTTTTCTTCTCCCTCATCTGCAGTCACCCAGGGAGTCCTGAACTTAGGTGGTTGGCGGGTGTGAAAAAATATATGTGACATGATTTTAGGGGTGTGGTGAGAGACTGTGACCGTTCACTTTTCCCTGTTTGTCCCCCAGGCATTGCCCTGTACCCCGGTCAGGCCCAGCTGCTCAGCTGTAAGCACCATTACGAGGTCATTCCACCTCTGAAGAGCCCCGGCCAGCCAGGAGACATGAACTGCACCACCCAGAGGATCAACTACACAGACCCCTTCTCCAATCAGACCCTGGTAACTCTTGTCTCCCCGAGCTGGGTCTGGGCAGCGTGCTCCATTGGCCTCGCACCCTGAGGACCCCTGTCTTCTTTCTGCCGGGTGGCCTCCCCCCTCCCCACCGTGGTGCGGGCCCTCAGCCCCTGGCAAACACTCCTAAGTGGAGTCTGGCCGCGGCTGGCTCACCTGCTTTCAGGGAGGGCAGTGGGGCCTTCGGCCTCCTCTGAGTGACCCTCTGGGATTCCCGACAAAGTGATAAGATCCTGTCCTGGATGGAAGGGTGGCGGGCTGCAGAGTGGGGCCAGTGTGACACAGCCAAGTGGGTCCCATAGCTGACCGCCCGACAGAATTGCCAGGATCTCTTCTGAAAACAAAGATTCTGGGTTCCATGTGGGCCCACCTGAATCACTGTTCCTGGGGGCGGGGCCTAGGCATCCATATTTTGGAATAACTATGCCAGTGTAAGAAGGAGCACTGGTCTGGGAACAAGGACCCCGATCCTGCCGTCACCCACGGCTCCGTTCAGCCGTGGTGGGGGAACAGCGTCTGCACAGGGTTCTGGAGGCAGGGAAGGAATTTCGTATATATTTACATCTTCTCCTTTTCATCCCATATGCTTGTTTCCAAAAGGATTGAACAGGGCTGAGTAAGTTTTCCAGCTCAGAGAGAGGAAGGAAACGTTTTCTAGGCAGAGGAACTCTGCACCAAGGCATAAAGGGAGGAAACAGCATGTTTGTTTGTGCCTCTGAGCAAAATTCCACAGGTGGGTGTTTCTGGAGGGCCAGGTGCCCCCAGAAGGGTGGCGGGTGGTGAAGTTGTGGACAGAAGTACTGGCCAAGTGAGGAAAGCGTGTGTCTGCTGTGGAGAAGGACCCGCTCCTTTGGGTGATAAGCAGCTACATGTGGGCCTTGAGATGAAAGAATCCCACTGACTTTTTCGTTAATATTTGTTCTAGACCTCCTCCTCAAATC